CTTCTGAGCAAAGTATCACAAGAATGGAGGAAAAAGTATCCAATGTACACACCCCTATTATGAAACTAATTTATACCTTTTATATGAAAGCTATAGCGAAACAGCCTAAGAATATGGGGAGGGGGAAGGGAGAAGGGAGGGGGGAATGGCTGGAGGGAGGGGGTTTGGAGGGATCACTTCTGAAGTTTATCTTATAGGGGTACAAGTGAATCTTTCTAAGAGTAGAATGTGAACATTTTAAAACAATAACTGAGAAAATGACATGAAGGCTGTGTTGACCAGTTTGATGGAAGTATTTCAGATTGCATGTGAAAACCCCACACTGTACCTCAGAAGTGCATTAATGTACATAGTTACCATTCAAATAAAAAAAAAAATCATGTTCTTGAAGAATAAAAAAAAATTTTTTTTGAAACAGAAGCTAGGATTTTGCAATGAATTTTATGTTATTTTATGAATATGGATTATCCAGTAACTGGCTACCATTAAAAAAACAAAACACCTCTATGGCCTTCCTTTCTTGATAATGATTTGTTATGTGCCTACTAATTCATTACAAAAATGCTTTATAAACATAAAATTTAGTAAAAGGGGCCAAGTGTGGTGGCTCACCCTGTCATCTGAGCACTCTGGGAGGCTGAGGTGGGAGGATCACTTGAGGCCAGGAGTTGGAGACCAGCCTGGGCAAGAGTCAGACCCCATCCCTATAAAAAATAGAACTATTAGCCTGGCAAAGTGGCTTGTGCCTGTAGTCCCAGCTATTCAGGAGGCTGAGGCAGGAGGATCACTTGAGCCCCAGAGTTTGTGGTGAGCTGTGGTGTCGCCACTGCACTTTAGCCTAATCTGCCCTATCTGAACTTCCTTTGCCCAAGATAGGCAACCGTCTCAGCTAAGCCAATTATAAGTCCAACACCTGCTTTAGCAGGTTCCAGCTTGCCTGAAATGACAGAGCCCTTCTGTGGTTGTGAACTTGAAAGCAGAGACAGCAAAGAAATGTATGCTTCAAAATGTCAGCCTGGAGTAAATTATTGCTAATGTATTCAATGCTAAAAAGCAATTTTTGAGAATAAATTTCTGCGTAATAAATAAAGCAAATGTTTGGGAATAGAAACACCTGGCTTCAGGTTCCGACTTTCCTCTGAATCTTCACGGGTCTCTCTGAGGGCTCCCCTCTGTCGCTGACAGCATCCTGCACCCAACACGGGGCCTCTGTTCACACCACCTTTCTCCTGGGAAGCACCCACTTGTGGAAAAGCTGCTATCCACTTGTGGGGGGCAGGTAGGCAGAATTACTCATGGGCCTTCCAACTCAAAACCAGCCTAGAAGAAAGGAGCTGGTAGTCACCGAGTCAGGGGAATATCTATGTGACCATCCCTGCATGGGGATTCAGCAGTGCAGGGGGACTAAGACCTCTAGATTCTTGACCAGTAGTTTAAATCAGGGAAGTTAAGATAGCTCAAAGGGACCAAACTGGTCTTCCCCCTTCTCCTCTGCGTACACCTTATCCAGCCGTTCCTGACGTTCCATGGCCCTATGTCTTGTTTACCCAACTGCTGCCCTTTCTTTACTCAACGTTCCAGGGGCCTTGAGCCCCCCTTTCTCTTGTCTTTGAGTGTTCTGCATTCTTGCAGATGCTCTGTTTCTGTACCAAATTAAAACCCCCTGGGACGACTGGGGGCTGCACCGTCTTGAATTGCTGCAGGCATGGAAGGCTGTGTCTGCCTCCTCAGGCTCTAAGTTTGTGTGAAAGTCTTGTGTTTTCTCCAGCACCGTTTCCCGTCAGCCACCGTCACAGGTTGGGGTCCCTGGGAACCCCGACAGCCACCAACATCCAGGTAGCTCTCTGTGTTAGACAAAGGAGTAAGCTGAGTGCAGGCACGGGCAGCAGATGGATTTGCTAAAATGAATTTTGTGTCTGCGCTGGGGCTGTCCCCCCGTTTATCTTCCTCGGTAACCTGCAATGGTGATAATTGAAGAAATTCATCAACTCTTATGTATCCCATTTGGACTGTGCTCATAACTCCTACAGTGATTTATTATGTTTTGTTTTTTCGCATGTTTGCGTATCTATTTTTCTCCAAGAGTTTTGTTTGAAATTTTATGCCCAAATCAGCAGGCATTAAGAATCATACATAACTCAGTAACATTTCCCTAGAAATGATGTAACAGTGGTACTCACATTACTCAGAACAATATTATCATGTTCTTTATTGATTCAGGCTAATCATCCTGATTCCCTTGTACTGAAATGCTAATTGGCTTAAAATTTTAAAAGTTTCTTGGAAAATGGAACCAAGGTTGGTGTTTCTATCAACAATCCTAAATGTTGCTGAAACAGAACATCGTATCCCACCAAAAATTCCACTTTATTCAACAGCATAGTTTTCATGTGGGCTCAATACACTCTCCCTGTCAATCTTTTGACTAAAAATGGCTTGTTAACGCTTACCTTTTTATTAACAAATACTAATTGATAGCTTAGTGTTAGGCCCAACCAGTTTATTGGTTTGAAGACAGACAGCATATTAGTCCTTATAGAAATGAGTTTATCACGATTGCTGGGAGTATTTCAGAGAAGGCTTCCAAGGGATGTTAGTGATTTCTAAGCTGAGTGTCAAGGATGAGAGAATAGGAACTATCTGGATACAGAGAAAACAAGAAAGACGAGCATCCTCCCCAGCAGAAGGGAAGGGCTCCAGGCCTGTAGGGAACGATTTTGACAAGTGTGAGGACCTAGGTAGCCCAGACCAGAGAGTGGAGAGGGCACAGCACAAGGGTTGTTTGGTATGGGAGGGTGTGGACCATGATGCCAGCGTCACAGCCGTGCAAAGGCAGCCAGATGTTAGTTCTAAGGATAATCAGATATGATGACAGTTGTGGTTAGAAAAAGACCCTTTTGGTGGTGGGACACAGAATGGTTTGGAGAGAGGAGGACCATCATCAGGAGACCAGCTTGGGGCTGTGAGAGAGGATGGCAGCCTGGACCAGGTGGGGAAAGGATTTGAGAGCCGTATAGCAGGTAGAATTATGGAGGAGAGAACAGAAGGGATCAGAGAGAGCTGCTAGGTTTCCTCTTGGAGCCGGTGAGAGAGGCACCTGAACAAAGAGGAGATGTGGTGAGGAGGTGACAGCCCAGTTCTGGACGTGGCGAACTTCAGGTGCAGCAACCTGGATCCAGCAGGCTAGGGGAGCAGGGTCCCCACGGGGTGGGGGAAGAGCACATTCTCAGCAAGAAGGGAGATGAATAGGGACATCTCAGCAATGGAATGTGCAGCGGGCTGAGTCTGCACCCTTTCTCAAGCCCCCAGGAGTCTCCAGGAATCTCCGGCAGCATCTGCACTGGCCCGGCTCCTCTGTGGTGTGCTCTGCTCTCGTAGGAGGGAGCAGAATGTTAGGAAATGACTCCTTCTATTTGTTTCCAGGTCAGCACAGCCTAAGTACTAAAGTTATAGGATAAATATAAAAATATGAAATGAAACATAAAGGACAAAGTTGATTAGCTAAAATTCATAATATGATAAAACAAAAACAAAATGATTACACAAGTTTATGTGTATGATAACTCTGTTATTATTGACAAAAGAGCTTTACAAATGACCCTGCATCTGTTTAAGGATTGATTTTTCCCTGTTACGCTTGACTTTAATCACACAACTTACAGAAGGACTCAAGCAATAATAGCTCATCAAATCCTGTCTATCAAAGAACATGGGTTTTTCGGGGTTTTTTTGTTTTGTTTTGCAGTTTTTGGCCGGGGCCGGGTTTGAACCCACCACCCCTGGTATATGGGGCCGGCGCACTACTCCTTGAGCCACAGGCACCACCCTGAATGTGTTTGTTTGTGTCCTTTACAGTGACCAGTGACCTGCCTGGCTCGGCCATAGACACTACAAAAATTAAGTTTAAGAACACCAGCATTCTGGTTATTTTCCTGATTTGATGTTGTTATAGTTGTACATTTTTATCCAAGTTATTTAGCAAAATGAATTGTAAATTATTCCCTGATTATAGGTAACACAAGAAAGGTCTCCTAATTTTGACACAATTTCATTACAGGTGATTATGTCGTCATGACCATATATTTTGAGTTGAGCAGGAGAATGGGATACTTCACTATTCAGACGTACATCCCTTGCATACTAACTGTGGTCTTATCCTGGGTGTCATTCTGGATCAAAAAAGACGCTACCCCAGCAAGAACAGCATTAGGTAAGTCTTCAAAAAACTCTCCCACCATTGTGTGTAATTTTCATATAGAAGCATTCATAAAAATATCTTCAGTGAGACAGATTTTGTTTAAATCTGAATGACCTTAATTTGAGGGTAACTTAATCTGTGCTTAGAATTTTTCTTAAGTAGCTGAGTTAGTGAGGTTGTTCTTTCTGATAATGGAATTCTACGTTGTGCTACTTAAATTAATATGGGGTTAGAGATTCCTAATAATCAATTGCATCATCTGATACTGAACTCTAAGGCTGATAGTATCACAAAAAATATAGGCACATCTTGGAACCTTTAAACTCAAAATTCTCACAACATTAGTATCAAGAAAATGAACTGGCTTGAGGACTGGTGACCTGAGAACTGTCAGCTGTGGTCCAGACACTAGAACTCAAACTTTTTATGAATTTTTCTTTGTTTCCCAAAGTTCTCTTCAAGTTCATTCGTTTTTGAACTGTGCGACACATTTTGTCAGTTTTTTCTCTGTGATAATTTTACCTAACTTTCAATGTTTTGATATTTTGAAGACAGGTAATATATAAGACTGAATACAGAAGTGGTTTTCCTCCCAAAATTTCCTCCACACAAGAGAGCGGCCTCAGTTTCAAATTTATATTGTGCTTCTGTGTTTTTTTATTCTTCATTTGATTGTTCAAAAACAAAGCACTGTTTGACTCAGATAAATTAGCCTGTCATATTCTCCACCTATAATAGTTTTGCATGCTTACAGAAAATACATGATAGAATTGCTGAATCAGGCAAAGGTATTAACATGAATTCAGTAACTCCTCTTGGAGTCAGGACCTTGCACTTACAAATGTTAGGGTCCTTTGGAAGTGAGACTTTTAAAGATCAGCTTCAAATCAGTATCATGTGTAGCTATGTTTATATAACTTGAGACTATGAAAGTCCCACGGAGGATGCTCGCTGTGGGATAAAGATCACTGAGATCTACGTGGTGCTGTTAGATAACGGATGAAGGCCTAGTGGCTGAGGAAACATCATTAACACTTAACTGTTTAGTTGAGACACCAGAAAGTCAATGCCTAGAAATTAAGGGGTACCCTAGTTCTCCTTTAATAAAGCTTAAATCAAGCAAAGACAAGATCAGGGGCAACCACTGGTAAATTAACTGTCGTAATGAGAAAGAATTTAACAGGCTTTAAGAAAAGAGTAACATAGCCCAGACTTCTTATAATGTATCACTTGCAATACTGAGTATATAATAAATAAATTTTGGACATTGAAAGAAGGAAAAAGAATTGTGGCCTATGATCAAGGAAAAAAAAGAGTTGATAGAAAAAGGCAACTCTACTGTTAAATCCGTAGACAATGGTTTTTAAAAACAGCTATTAGGCTCAGCACTTGTAGCTCAGTAGTTAGGACGCCAGCCACATACACCAGGGCTGGTGGGTTTGAACCCTGCTGGGCCAGCTAAATGACAATGACAACTGCAACAAAAAAAATAGCTGGGCATTGTGGCGGGTAGCTGTGGTCCCAGCTACTTGGGAGGCTGAGGCAAGAGAATCACTTAAGCCCAAGAGTTTGAGGTTGCTGTGACCTGTGATGCCTTGATACTCTACTGACAGTTATATAGTGAGACTATCTCAAAAAAAGTAAATAAATAAAAATAAAAACAGCTATTATGACAATGTTCAAAGACTAAAAAAAAATATTAATATGGTTTTTATGAATGAATACATGGGTCATCACACAATAATATTAAATAAAAAGAAATTCTAGAATTAAATATGTATCTTAACTGAAAAATTTATTAGATGCACTTAAAAGAAGATTAAAAATAGCTGGGAAAAGAGCATGTGTGAAAGTGAATACCACCAAATAAAATTTATCTAATGTGAAGATTAGAAAGAATGAATGAACCCTCAATGCTCTATGGTATGAATACATAGAACATTACTGTAACTGAGGTTCCAGAATAAGAAGAGAAAAAGAATAAGGCCAAAATTTTTTGAAGAAATGTGGTTAAGATATTCCCAAATTTGGTGGAAAACCAATCTATAAATTCAAACATCTCGATGAGATACAAGCAGGAGAATTACAAAGAAAAACAATATAGTCCAAACCTTGAAAACCAAAAGTAAATTCTTGAAAGTAGATAAGTAAAAAGTATCCTGTTATACTATGTGGGAGAGCAAAAATACAACTAATGGCTCACCCTCCATGAGCAATAATTGAGGTCGACGATATTCATGGCCATCTTTAAAGTAATGAAATTAAGGAGAAAACTTATCTATTCAGTGTTCTATAGGCAGATAAAATATACTTCAAAAACTGTAGGAATGAAGACATTTGTAGATGAACAAAAGCTGTGAGAATTGTCACAGAAAATGTAAAACCATGATAAAAATACTAACGCAAGCTATTGGGCTAATTGAAATAATAGAAAGTTGGACTTATAAGATGGAATAAAAAAGATCAGAAATGGTAAATATGTGATAAATATTAAAAGCTATCTTCCTATCTTTATCTCCTCAATTAAAGTCAGAATAATAATAATATTGTAAGGCAGAGTTTCCAACATAAGAAAAGATAAAGTATTGCAAGGAGGGCAGAAAATACTTAAAATATATTCATGTGAGTTAAAGTGTTACAAAAATGAATGATGTGGTACAAAAATAATGATAAGTAGGCTGTGATATGTTAAGAATTCTTATTATGGGCAGTGCCTGAGGCTCAAAAGGGTAGGGCACCAGTCCCAAATGCCGGAGGTGGTGGGTTCAAACCCAGCCCTGGCCATAAATAAATAAATAAATAAATATGTCTTTTTTTTTTAAAAAAAAAAAAAATTCTTATTATAAGTTGTTGAAAAATTATGGAAATATAATAAAAATCATATCTAAGAATTCAGTGTGGGAATTAAATGGCACATAAAAAAATATTTAACTGAAGGAAAAAAAAGAAAAAGGAAGTATAGAAATGATTGAAAAGCAAAGAAGAAGGAGAAGAAAAGCACACCTGATGCATATAGAAAAATAGCAAGATGGTACAGTACTAAAAATCTCATTACGTGGAGACAGACCCCATGTAGTCAATGAAAAGTTGAGTGCTGCCAGTGTGATTAAAAAGTTAAGACCTAACTATGTATTGACTAAAACCAGCGCACATAGAGTTCACAATCCTTGGTTTGAAAGACAATGGCTCAAAAACTATCTAACATGAACATCAGAGGAGCTGGTATGCTGTGTAAATGAGAGAAAGTCATTCAACAAGGATACAGATAAAGAGGAACATCTAATAATGACAAATAAGTCAGTTCAACCGACAGAACATTCAGAAATGTGTCCATGCCTAGTACCAGAGCTCCATGTTAAAAGAAGAGAAACTGCGAATAAAAAGATAGGTTTAAAAATGTGCACTCAGAGTTGGAGAATTAAATATACTTCTATGAGTAGTACATATAAACAAGCACACTTGTCTACTTATTTAAATGATTAAACAAGTCTACAAAACATCAGTAACAGGAAGGAGGGATCAGAACAGCACTCTCTGTGTCTTTGAGCTATTCTACATCACAGGACTCCACACCTAATAGTTGCATCATATAGTGAGGTTTAATCTCTACCTCACATCATACACAAAAATTAATTTTTTTTTTGAGACAGAGTCTTGCTATGTTGCCCTCTCTAGAGTGCAGTGGCATCACAGCAACCTCAAACTTTTGGGCTTAAGCAAATCACTCCCCCAACAATGCCAGCTGTTTTTGATGTTGTTGTTTTAGCTGGACCTGATTGGGCTCAAACCAGCCAGCCTCGGTGTATGTGGCCGGCGCCCTACTCACTGCGCTACAGGTGCTACCCACAAAAATTAATTTGAAATGGACTATAATTTAAATAGTAAAGCTAAAGATGCAAAATTTCTAAAAAATAAAACTTAGCAATCTAACATTAGCTTAGACAAAAATTTCTAAGATCAGAAACAGAAAGGACCAGTGAACCATCCATGGGGAGAACTAAAATATTCCTGACATGAAAACACACATGATAGTTCATGTTATTGGATAATATGCAGCATCGTGAAGATTGGTTGGCTATATGTGTATACAATAAACTTATCATCTCCAGTGTGTAATTACCTTCTCTCCTTTTTCTTTTCTATGCATTTGGTGTGCAGAAATTTTATTTATTAATCTTTATACTAATGTTTTTTCTTCTGCATACATTATATGGCTCCTTTAAAAATTGCTTGTATATTACAATGATTACTTCCATAAAATAAAAACCTGAAATATTCAGAATAAAATCAAATTTTAGCCATCATTTGAAGACCAGAAAACAACAATATCAAAATAACACAGGCTGGACACAGTGGCTCCCACCTGTAACCCTAGGATTCCAGGAGGTGAAGTGAGAAAGCCCCTTGAGCTCAGAAGTTCGAGACCAGCCTAAGCAAAGTGAGACCCCATCTCTACTAAAAATAGAAAAATTAGCAGGGTGAGGTGATGCATGTCTCAGTTCCAACTACTCCAGAGACTGAGCCAAGAGTTTGAGACTGCCAAAAAAAAAAAAAAAAGAAGAAGAAGAAGAAGATAACAGAGACGTTAGAAACCTGACAAGTATTCTAAAGTAGTAATTGTAAACATGCTTAAATAAGCAATTATAAAATGCTTGAAATAATAAAAAAATTGAAAAAGAAAAGCTTACCAAAAATAAAAGAAGAAGAAAGGAAAAAAGGAGACTCAGATTGAATTTTTAGAACTTAAAAATACAATGTCAAAAGGAAAGGTGAACTAAAGGTGATTAACAAAGGAAGACTGGACAGAGAAAGAACAAGTGAACTTCAAGACACAACAATAAGGGCAGCACCTGTGGTTCAATGAGTAGGTCACCGGGCCCATAGACAGAGGGTGGTGGGTTCAAACCCAGCCCCACCCAAACTGCAACAACAACAAAAATACCTGGGCATTGTGGTGGGCGTCTGTAGTCTCAGCTACTTGGGAGGCTGAGGCAAGAGATTCACCTAAGCCC